TAGTACATCCCTACATCAAATAATGATTTAATTATGATTAGTTTATATTTATTAATAACAAGGTACATTAAATGGGGGCATATTAGAAAACTAAAAAATATCTATACTTTCAATATGAAAGTGGCTTATAATTTTGGACGGATGTAAAAGGAAACTAAGCCCATCTTTATGGAACGGAGGGAGCAGTACTTACGGAATTGGCTAGGAAACAGGAGTTCTCTTGGTAGTGATGAATATCTTACCATTGCGTTTCTCATTTTCCTTGGTAATTGTGTGGGATTGTTGTGATTATTTCTCATGCATTATTAATATTGGTATTGATTTTTGTAATGTTCTTGTTTCTCCAGTCTATCAGATAATGCTTATGCTCTTGTGGCGGATGTACTAAGAAAACTGGTGTCTATCGCACCTGTTCATTGTCATCTTTTCATAACTGAGCTTTCTAGTTCAGTTCAGAGCCTCACCAAGTCTGCGACTGAAGAGTTGCACATTTTTGGGGAAGTGGAGAAAGCACTCCTGACTAGTACTTCTCATGGACCTCCATTGTTCAGGGTGTTGCAAGCCTTGAGCTCTCTTGTCGTTGTACTCAATGATGGAGATAAAAATCACCAGATTCTCCCTGAGAAAGAGCAAGCTGCTGCTATCTCTGTGGTGTGGGACATTAATGTGACTCTAGAACCATTGTGGCAAGAGCTGAGCAACTGCATAAGCAAAATAGAGAGCCATTCAGATACAATTTCTGATCAGTCACCTTCAACATCTGTCACAGTTACTTCTAAACCGCCTGGAGTGATGCCTCCACTTCCTGCAGGTACTCAGAATATCTTGCCATACATTGAGTCCTTTTTCATAACGTGTGAGAAGTTGCATCCTGGTCAGTCAGGGTCAGGACACGATTTCGGTATAGCTGCAGTTTCTGATGTTGATGAGGCTGCTGCATCTGCTAGTCCACAGAAGACTTCGGGTCCTGTTATGAAAGTTGGAGAGAAAAACGTTGCTTTCATAAGGTTCTCAGAGAAGCACAGGAAACTTCTTAATGCTTTTATCCGTCAAAACCCAGGGTTACTTGAGAAGTCTTTTTCACTCATGCTGAAAGTTCCTCGTTTCATTGATTTCGATAACAAAAGGGCTCACTTTAGATCCAAGATCAAGCATCAGTACGATCATCATCACAGCCCTCTGAGAATATCTGTTAGAAGAGCTTACATTCTTGAAGATTCGTATAATCAACTTCGCATGAGGTCGGCACAGGATTTGAAGGGAAGGTTGACTGTTCATTTCCAAGGGGAGGAAGGAATTGATGCTGGTGGACTTACCAGGGAATGGTATCAGCTGCTGTCCAGGGTAATTTTTGATAAGGGGGCACTACTATTCACAACAGTTGGGAATGAATCAACATTTCAGCCAAACCCTAACTCCGTTTATCAAACAGAGCACCTCTCATACTTCAAATTTGTTGGCCGAGTTGTGAGTAATTTTCATCATCTGGTTGTGTTATTGATATGTGTATGATTTTGTGTCTAATGTATACAAATATTTCACAGGTTGGAAAGGCACTCCTTGATGGACAACTCCTTGATGTTCATTTCACTCGGTCTTTTTATAAGCATATTCTTGGGGTTAAAGTGACGTATCATGATATTGAAGCTATTGATCCTGATTACTTTAAAAATTTGAAATGGATGCTCGAGGTTGGTTATATTTGTAATCCCCCCTACTCTTTATTTTTTCACATGATATTGATCATTAATCCAAATTTTTTTTTTCCTTATTGCAGAATGATATAAGTGACGTTTTAGACCTAACATTCAGCATTGACGCTGATGAGGAAAAGCTGATACTCTATGAACGCACTGAAGTATGTATTTTTGCATTACTGTATGACTTGAATTTTTTTTTCTATAATTATTTGACAAATTGGTGTGTTGCATTATGTAGGTGACTGACCATGAACTGATCCCTGGTGGTCGAAATATCCGAGTAACTGAGGAAAACAAGCATCAGTACGTTGATTTAGTTGCTGAGCATCGGTTGACAACTGCTATTCGTCCTCAGATAAATGCATTTTTGGATGGTTTCAATGAATTAATTTCTCGCGATTTCATATCTATTTTCAATGACAAGGAACTGGAACTCCTCATAAGTGGACTGCCGGATATTGATTGTGAGTTTTCTACTGATTTTGCTTCGTTGTTAGGTTGTCAATCTGCGAATCATTTGATCTTTGTATTTACCTTCTGCCTCCAAATCTTTTTGTTCTTATTAGAGTAACTAATAATAGAATAAAAAATGTCTCATAGTGGATGACCTGAGGGCTAATACGGAGTACTCTGGGTATACTGCTGCTGCTCCGGTCATTCAGTGGTTCTGGGAAGTTGTTCAAGGATTCAGCAAAGAAGACAAGGCTCGCCTCTTACAATTTGTGACTGGCACCTCAAAGGTATGTTGACCTCTCTGTTGTCATTTGGCCTTTTTTCAGTATCAAAAACTTCGTTTTAATCTCATAATGTTAGGTTAACTTCCCCATCCATAAATCCCCTTCATGAGAATCTATGATGCACCGACACGATACGTGTCGGATACGTCGACATGCGATTTTTAAAAAATGTACAAATATGATCGACACGTTGATTAAATTTTTAAAAATTCTTCATTTATATAGTATAAATTTAGTTTTATACTTGTTATTAATTTTTTTTGTTGAAAGCTCTTAAATATGAGTATTTATTTGTTACTTGTTAATAACTTTGAATTACAATATATAATATTTCTAATATAAAATCAAAAATGATTACGGTAGATTGTCTGAGAAGTGTCGGTATCGACTTGTGTCCTACACGTGTCGGATACGGACACTCTACCCTAATTGAAATGTCTGTGCTACGAAGATGAGAATCAATATTTTAGAGTGGTTTGGAACATATAATCTTTGTTTTAGATAGGACACAATGATATTGTCCCTTCATCTCAAGTTGGGTAAACTACACTTGGCTCTACTCTATAAGATTCTTTCTTAACGTCAAAAATACAATTGGTTTCCTCGCGTGACCCAATACTGATTGCAAATTATCTGTTAATTTTCTCATGTTGGAGTTGGATCAAAATTTCTCTCTCTCTCTCTCTCTCTCTCTCTCTCTCTCTTTTGCTACCTGAAATTATTTTCTTGTCCTGAACACATAATGATGCCTTAATACAGGCGCCTCCAACATGGTAGACATTATTTTTACATTTTTGATGATATCGAGAAAAGTGCCCACCTTATATTAATTTTCAAATAAGGTTTAGTTTGTCGTGTGATGGTATTGAGAAAAATATTCTTGTCATTTCCCAGGTACCTTTAGAAGGATTTAGTGCGCTTCAAGGCGTTTCAGGATGTCAAAAATTTCAGATTCACAAGGCATACGTCAGTGCAGATCACTTGCCTTCAGCTCATACATGGTAATATTTTCTCTTCTTGTGCTCTACAGTTGAGAGCATGACTGGCTAACAAAAGTCTTCTGGTCAAAAACTAACTTAATTTCAAATCCTGACCTGTGCAAAAACTTTTATGTACCTACCCTACCAATTTACTTATAAGTTAGGCTTAGTCAAACAAGTCCTCGAGCTCAGATTGCACTGGTTGGTTCTGTTAGTTTGCGGGGCTATTGGGCAAAACCTAACAGATTTTAACTTGTGGCTTGCAGTTTCAATCAGTTGGATCTTCCAGAATATCCTTCGGAACAACATCTGGAGGAGAGGCTGCTCGTTGCTATTCACGAAGGCAACGAAGGGTTTGGATTCGGTTGAGATGAGAACTAGTTTGTATAGATAAAATCTTGTCAGGAACGAAGCAGTAGTATTTATAAGAGAATTCTTGACATTGTTTTAGTATCTGAATGTTGATAAACTGTACAGTCGAATATTTGCTGTTGAATTTTTCTGCCAGGTTTTTTCTACTCCATCTCTCCGTGTCCAAGTTTTTCTTGGTTTAATTTTCTGAATATACATGCTGCCAATCTAGCTGTGGTTTTTAGGTGCACATTTTTTGGGCTTTCTGAATTTTCGATACCCAAATATTTTTTACCAGAAAGCGAAGTGGCTAATATGTGTAACTTATGGAATGCATGTTGTAAAATGAGCTACACCATGGCACATAGCCTATGCTTGCTGATGTAGTACATAATCACGATTAGTGTATTACAGATAGAAAACTTCAATGGCAAGAATGACTTTATTATCTAGAAAACCAAGATACGGGCAGTACTAGATAATCTTGGTCTAGATTATGCTATAATATGTGATAATCTTGAAGAAAGCAAAGAACAGAATAATACCGAACCTTGGTGATCATCAGTTCAGGGAAGTGTCAAAAGAAGCTTTAGCAGTAGTCATCTGGAATAAGCTTGAGGACACTATCTACTTGGTGATCTTCATCCATGGCACGAGGAAGGAAAAGAAAAAAGTAGAGGAATCTTATCTTTTCTTGGTGTAATAATGGTCACTGCTGTACTAAGCACAAAATTTGAAAAAAGAACGAAATGAGATCCTGTACAAATACAGAAAGTGAAGCCCCTGTTTGGGCTCCATTAAAATGAGAACACGGGCTCAGACGATTGTAGTGAACTTGCAATGGAAGAAATCAAACTGCTTTTTGCTGAAATAAATTCGACAAGCATTATGATTCAGACTTCACTAGAGTTTGAACTATCGTAAACAAAAAAGAGTTTCAGACTTGGTAGTTTAATTACATACTACACTGAAAAATGACTTGTTCAAAGCTAGGACACAATTCTTTCCTATTTAACAAAACGATGCCTTTCTGCCAGATTGTGGATACAACGATAAGTTTTCAAAATATGTCCAGAAATTAGAAACCGGGGGGAAAATCTAACCAACAAGGCAAAAGGCTGCTAAAAAAGGGAAACTCAAAAAAACATTCACATGATTGTAGCTCATTTATAGTCATGTGAGCTACTTAAACTTTCATGTATATAAAGTTATCAGTCAGGGTTAGTTTGAAGTTATCTTCTGTAGTACATCGTCCCTAGAGCATCTTCCTTGATAATTCTGGAAAGTCCACAGGGAAAATCACCAGGCCATAGAACAACATCACTTCCCGGAAGATCCATCTTAGCTAGATAATCAGCTGCTCTATTTGTTTCACGCCAAGAATGAGAAACGAGATATTTGTCAAACTTCTTCAAAAGTTTCCAAGTGTGCTTCAAGCAGCTACTAGCCTTTGGACCATATGGTTGTTCCTTGTTGATAGTTTTGACAACACTCATTGAATCAGATTCAACCCATATTAACTTGATTCCCAGACTTGATGCAACTATGAGGCCTCTCCAGATTGCCCATAGTTCAGCCAAGAAAATATCAACTCCTGGATATTTCGAGACATATGCACATACAGGAACACCCAGATAGTCACGGAACAAACCACAAACACCAGCTCTTTCTCTGTCAATAGATCCATCTGAATTCCACATGGTCCATCCAAAGTCGGGCTTTATCAACAGATATGCACATACAGGACCACCCTGATCGTCACGGAACAAACCACCAAAACCAGCTGTTTCTCTGTCAATAGATCCATCTGTATTCAACTTGGTCCATCCAAAGTCGGGCTTTATCCACATCGACCATCTGTTTGATCTTTTAACCAGGGTTGTAAAACCATCCATATTATGAAAATCTAAGCGTGTGATTTGGTTGAATTTCCCTAGTAGAATATTGGCTTTCTTCTTAGTTAAAGAAATATTTGTTTCTTTAGTTGCAGCTTCATTTTTCTGTTTATGTTCCATTTCCTTCAACTTGTGCTTCTTTCCCTGAATGTGCATCCTCAAATGTTTTGCGCTGGTAGTGTTTATCAGACAAAGGGGACAGCTCCATTCCCTCTGAACTTACTTCAGACATCCTGGTTGCAATAAACCACCTATCATCGTATGGCCGGAAGCTCTCGTCTCACCAGGCAACAATTAGCCAACTGCAATACTGAATGGCCTAAATGAATATTCCTGGTGGATTCATTTTCTGAAATTTTTCTTAACTGAGCTCAACGTGAGACATCAAAACATTCTCAGATTAAATTTTACCTCATAAGCAACACGGTTTTCTGATTCTTCTCCATTCTCCCTTGTATGAATACTTGCTTGATCAGAAAATTCATTCTGCCCGATTGATTCTGGAATGAGCAGCATATCCCGGAAACATGAATCCTCAGCTATACGAACAAAGTGTGTGTAGACATAAGAAGCACCAGCAAATGAAGGTACTGTGAGCAAGACAGTGGCCACTCCTTTTATATAGGGCCAAAGAGAGAGCCTGAAATGTAAAAGAAACTCAATGCATGGGACTCAACAGTGGACTAATGGTGAATCATATCTACCCCATAGGATTTTATTTTATTAGGAGTTTTTATTATTTTAGGTTTTTGATTACTTATTCTTTTAGGTTTTAATTACTTATCTTTCATAAGCTATTAGGATTAGGACATTATTTCCCTTCATATATAAAGTCTTTTGTATACTTTTTCAACCAATCAATTTCAAGGCAATCACACTAATTTCTTCCAAACTTTCGAGTTTTCAATTTTTATTCGTGTTACAAAAATTTTAATTCCACTTATCAACCACCTGAAGTTTAGTAGAACTAATGAAGTTCAAGATTCACGAACATCAGAAAACACTTCTATAATATACAAAGATCATGGAACTTAAATATTCCATGCCATCCTAACATGTCCATATTTGTATAAGTGACAGAAAGATAAACATTAGACAATTTTTATTTTTTATTGAAAATCTCAATTAGAGAATGTTAGGGATAAAATCCCACATTGAATAAAGATGAAAACATAGACCATTTTACAAGTGTTTGGGTTACTCCTCTTAACAAGGTTTACCTTTTAAAATAGAACCCTGAATCTTAACATAGAACACACAACAACAAACTGAGTTATTTAAAATAAACTGGAGTCAGTTTAATTGGAAAACTTAAAAAGTTTCAAATGTATTCCAAGAATATGTTGGATAAAATAATGGTAAAGTGCTGAAAAAACTTATCAATAGATCGAGTCTCGTGATAGCACGATGTCCTAAAGCGAAATTGTTCATCGATAACTGCTGCGACCTCCGTGGACAATCACCTCCAGGAT